TCTCTTGATAACCAGTGGAACAAGTAGGCAGGAGATCTGCAAGACAGCAAAGGCTAAACAGGTTACCAGCCTGAAACAGTCCCCTTGGAGAGAACGGTCTGCAAAACTAGTACAGAATGTCCAATCTTTCAACAGTACACAGAACTCGCACTAAAACAGGTCGTATTCTGGGCCATAAAGCTAATCTCAGTAAATTAGAGAAGATTCAAAGGATACAAACAGCCCAATAAAAACTTGACCAAAGGAGATCTATAGAGAAAATAAGCGGATGATCATAGGAAATAAGCAAAGGAAGGGATGTCCAGCGTCAGTATCCTGTGATCGCAATGCAAGGTGAATTGCCCTTGTTGGAGTGTTTAAAATGTAGATTGTTTAAAATGCAAAAGACTACACTGAATGTTGAACTGAAATGCCTGTGAACTCTAGCAAAGCCTCTTTGAAAACCAGTTTGGCCGTCTCTTAAAAAGTTAAACATACACCAAGCATACGAACTCGCCGGTCAGTTCCTAAGTATTTACCCAGGAGAAAGGAAACATTTTTCCTACTTGCACGTCGTCGTAACAGCTTTGTAACAGACCCCAAGTGAGCACAAGTAAAACACTCATCTGCCGTTACGTGGTTAGACACACGTTATGTGCATAGCATAAGACATTGCTCCACAGTGAAAATGAAGGAGATGCAGAGGTACACAAAGCATGACTAGATCGCCACAATTTTACTTTTTTTTTTTTTTTTCCGGTACCAGGGATTGAACTCAGGACCTTGCATTTGCCAGGCAAGCGCTTATTCTACTGAGCTATCTCCCCAGCTCCTGGATCTTGACAGTTAAGCCGAGTGGAAGAAGCTAGACCAAAGGAAAAGATTGCGTTCTGCATGACTCCATTTATATATGATTCTAGAAAATGAAAAGTTGACAGTGATGGACATTAGATCAGGGGTTACACAGGGATGTACAGAGCTGAGAGACAGGCATGACACAGAGGGGATTATGAAGAGGCACCCAGAAACTTCAGGGGTGACAGGTGTGTTCCTTATCTTATTTGTAGTGATTGTGTGTGTAGACCAATGACGTCGAACCTCTTGGAGCTTTGAGTGATAACAGACAGCCCGCTGCAGCATGCATACCATAAATGCACCACCATCAACATAGACACGTCAAAATTGATGAGCTTGTATTCTTTAAATGCCTGCAGTTTATTGTATGTCAGTTATAACTTAGTAAAGCTGTTAAAACCTTCCTCCGAGAAATGGGCTTCATATTCATATTTTTCAGGGTTCTCCAGATAGATAGAACCGGTGACGGGTGTGTGAGGGAGAGAGGAAGAGGAAGACAGAACACATGAGCTACAGAGAGTTTGAATATAAGGCACTGCACATCAGGGAGCCAGGAGGACTGGTGGTGCCATCCCAAGGCCTGTGAGCCAGATCCCAGACTGAATCCGAAAGCCTGAGGACCTGGATCTCCAAGGGCAGGAGACGTTTGGTGTCCCAGCTCAGGTCACATGGAGTGTGAATCCCACCTTCCTTGACCTTATGGTTCCATCTGGGCCCTCAGCAGATGGTTGGGTGATACCTGCCCAACCTGGTGGGGTCAGGTGCTTTACTTAGTCTACCAGTCCCAAAGCTGAGCTCTTCCGGAAACTCCTTCCGGACAGGCACAGATACAGCATATAGCCAGCTATCGGGGCTTCCTGTGGTCTGGCCAAAAGGATACACGACTTTAACCACCATGGTGCCTTCTGTATCATGGTGTCAGTTCTAGGTGACCAGGACAGAGGAGCCAGTGAACATGGTAAGACATGTTAACAGGACAAGACAAGCCCTAGAGCCCACTCCTCATCACTAGAGCTACACCTGGACACTGTGGAGCCTTGGGGAGAGATGAGACCCATGGTGGCGGAGTGCAAGACCTGAGGCAGGAGACAGGAAGCTGGCGTGAGGGTGTGGGCCAGAGTTGGTGGCTCAGGTAGTGTGACACGGTGGGTGGACTTGAGAGCAAGGGGGTGAGGCTTCCTCTGTGGCATCGCTGGTGGCCCTGAGCCAATATGGAGGAGGACACAGGAAAAGGTGCCGTGGCCCACAGTGCTGGTGGAGGCATAATCATAGGCTTGAGGGATGCATTTCTTCCAGTCCAGTGGAGGGAGAAAGGAGAGTTTGGGTATAGTTGAAATCACATTGTGAGGAGGCAGAGGAGGCCAACAGCTCTTGGCTGCTGCTGTCTTCCCAGTCAGGGACACCGGAATAATTTGTTAGCATGGGGGTACCTGTTGAATTGACCTGAAAGTATGAGGGACAGAAGTTAAAGTTCTCTAATTTGGTTGCCCAGCACCCAGTCATTCCAGTGTAGACAGTGGGAAGATGGGGCATCGGGTGGCCCCGAGGTGCGGGGAGAGAGATGCCCAGAGGAGAGGTAAGGGGTGAGGACCAAGGAGGGGAGCAGAGCTGGGCTCATGTCCACACGTTGCTGCCAGCAGAAGTGTCCTCTAGACCCTCTGAGGTGCCACAGTCCCCAGGAGCTTGCTAAGGGACTCTAGCCTGCCAGGTCGACAGGGAAAGTGGAAGCGTGGTCAGCAATGAAGGTGTGAGGCCTTGGGTGTGTGCTGAGGCTGACAGGAAGACTTGGAGTAAAGGCGAGACCCACCCGGACCTCCCTCTTCACCTTGGGCTTCTCCATGGGTCCTCTGACCCGAATGTGGCCCTGCTGGCCTCTAACTGCTGCTTCTCTCTGGCCCTGCTCCCCGCCTCCTTGTGGGGAGCAGGCACCTGCTGCACTACCAGCACTCAGCTTGCCCCCCACTTTTCTCCATTTCTGGCGTGAGTCTGCTCCCTTGCTTGCTTGGCTTCTACTGATGACTTTTTAGCAGTAATAACTGACAGATGTGGGTTCCTCTTTTGCTATTTTTTTCCCTTATTGGGCATTGGGGGTCAGAGTCCCACCATCTCACCTTAATCCTCCACATGCACCATAAGTTCAAATTCAAAGTAAGATTTTGTGCTAAACATTGTTATTCTAGGGTTTTTTCCCAGGGGACTTTGGGTGTCACCCTGATGTAGTTCAGTGAGAGTGACAGCGGTTCAACCTAGTGGGGAACCAGGCCCGTTGGCTGCGTCTGTGTGTGTGTCTCCTGTCTGCCTGTGCATTTCAGCTGGTCGCTAAATTGGGGCTAAAGTTACCGTTTGTTGCTGGGATGAATCCAATCACCCTTTGTTTGTTTCTTCTGACTACAGAAGCAAACCACAGGAATGTGGATTTCAAAGTGCCTTCTGTTACCGCAGGGGCTTTTCTGTTCCAGCTGATGACATTTGGGCCCATTTGCCAGGGCAGAGGTGTTGGTTATGGTGTCCTACTTGCCCGGGAAGCATAATGTCCTCCTGGAGAGGTCAGGCCTGGCCACCTGAGCTAAGACCTTTTATAAGCAGACCTTCCTGTCCTGCTGTAGGCCTATCCGAGACCCTGCAACCTTGTTGTCTCTGGGAGCGGAATTGAAGCTGCTTTTTCTCCACCTCCTCCCGGAACCTCACTGTCGCTTCTTCTCCCTCAGCCGGGGGCTGCAGGGCCTTCCCATCTCCACTCGATCGTGGGCAGTCGATTGCTGGGAACTGGCTGCGCTTGGACAGACGGTCTCATCGCTGTCCTGCCGGATATCCAGTTCTGAAATGCTGATTCCCAGCCATGCACATGTTGAAATTAGACTCCTGTGGGGCTGGAGAGATGGCTTAGTGGTCTAAAGCACCTACTTGGAACAAGCTTGGCAAAGCACAGGGACTGCGGTTCGATCCCCCAGCACCACATGCCAGCCAGCCCCGCCCCCAGGTGGGCTGAGCTGGCCACACACACACACACACACACACACAATAAATAAATGTTTAAAAAAAAAAAAAAAGAAATTAGACTCCTGTGTGTGTCAGGGGGAGGTTGCAGCAATCTCACAGGATCACAGCCGATGTCTTTGATGTATATTTTTCCCCCCAAGGGAGCAGTGTTTTAGTCTAAGAGCTGTTGGTCAGTTGAGATTAACTCAAGTAAAACAAGCTGCAGGAGGAAGCTGGGGCCCCCTTCCAACCTGATGGGCAGAAGAGAGCTGGGCTCCTTGGAACCAGAAGATGGTCAGAAACTGACGGGACCCTTTCTGGGGGGAGGGGTCTTTCTAACTTCTGGTTTCTTTGTATCCTGTTTTTATAGCATTCTGTAACATGGTGCTTTGGTTATTTGGGTTTTGTTTTGTTGAGAGAGGGTCTTTCTGTGTACTCCGAGCTGGGCCTGAATTTGAGATCCTCCTGCCTCAGCCTCCAGAGGGCTGAAATTACAAGCGTCACTAGCACGCCTGGCTGTGGTACAGCTTTTGATGGCATAGTTTCCGGGGCTGTTTGAGTTGTTGCTGATCTGGGGACCATGGTGGGAGATTCTCGTGTATTAAACATGGCTACTTGCACCACTTCTCAGCAGAAGATACAGTTTATAACACTGGAGCCTGGAGAGCCAATGGGTATAGAAAGCCTGTCTTACTAACATTTTTGGTGTATTGTTCAAAGGAAAGAAAGAGCTAGAAAGTGTTGACTAGTTTTTTGTTTGGGTTTTGTGTATTGCCTCAGGTGGTCTAAAACGCATGGATTTGGGGCCAGGAAGATAGCTCAGTGGAATAGGAATAAGCACCTACCTGGCAAGCGCGAGGTCCTGAGTTTGATCTCTGGTAGTGAAAAAAAAAAAAAAGCCCGGATTCAGGAGACCCTGCTGCCCTCAGCCTGCTAAGTGCGGGCACTACGGATACTTCCACACCTGCTTTGCTCCTCTGTTTTCTACAGCCCGGCTCCCCAGTTCTCCGAGCTGAGACCCAGACTTTCCTTGATGGCAGCATGCCCCAGTTGCAGGCTAAGTTCTAATGAGAAAATAGTTCTCCTGAAAGTTGATCCTACAAGCCTGAAAGTTTGTACACTTGCTGTTGTCACTTTAGGATAAGTATTGAATATTAATCTTCATGTTCTTTTTGGATTTCTTCCAGAGATATGAAGACTACGGAATGACTCCTGCGTCCGGCCCTTTGCCAAGGTAAAGTTTTGTGAACAAAATAGTTTGTAACTTTCTCACGCAGGCTGCTGTCTTTTTCGTTCTGTGAGCTCGTGTCTTTTTTTTTTTTTTAATTTTTTTTTTTACATTTATTTATTGTGTGTGTGTGTGTGTGTGTGTGTGTGTGTGGCCAGCTCAGCCCACCAGGGGGCGGGGCTGGCTGGCATGTGGTGCTGGGGGATTGAACCGCGGTCCCTGTGCTTTGCCAAGCTTGTTCTAAGTAGGTGCTTTAGACCACTGAGCCATCTCTCCAGCCCTGAGCTCGTGTCTTGAACCACCCCGAGCAGATGCAGAACTGTGAGAGGTGTATTCTCCTGTTGTCACCTCGAAAGGCAGGAGAAATGGCTGGGATCTCAGCTCTGCTCCAGTAGTGACAGACTGGAGAAATCAGGCCAACTGTCCTGCTGAGGACCCCAAGCAGGACACTGAAAATGTCCAAGCCCAGGGCAGACAGGGCTGGCAACAGGATGGGGCCTTGTTTGGGGAGGACAGTGACTCATGGGGATCAGTGAATCCCTTCGGGGACTGAAGCTCGGCCTCGAGCCGTGAGCAGGGGCGGCTGCCTGCGGACTCCAGCCCTGACTCCTCAGAGCACAGGGTCTCCCACAGGGCCTCACCTCCCTGCCGCAGCAGGTGTCATCCGTGTGTACGTGGGCACAGCAGGCATCAGAGAAGAATAGAGTACAGTTTCTAGGAAGTCAGGGGAGACAGACGAAATGGAATCAGGCAGGACCAAGATCATTGAGCTACCAGACCCAGAGTTGAGGATAATTACATTTACTGTGCTAACCATGGAGATGAGGTTCGTGGTCTGGGAAGATGTAAGAGTACTAATTTATGCGAGGCTGGTTTTGTTTTGTGGTTCTGCGGACTAAACCCAGGCCTTCACACTGGGTTACATTCCTGTCCCCTTTTCATTGTTCATTTTGAGATGGGGTCTAAGTCACCATCTTCCCCTGGCTGACTCAACCTTACCTCCTCCTGCCTCAGCCTGCAGAGCAGGGATTGCAGGCACATATGACTTGACTCTTTTATGTCAAGAATTCTGGTACAGGGGGCTGGGGAGATGGCTCAGTGGAATAAGCGCTTCCCTGGCAAGTGCAAGGGCCTGAGTTCAATCCCCGGTTCCGCAAAAAAAAAAAAAAAGAATTCTGGTATAGTTTTTAGGATAATTCATTAAAATAAAACTGAAAAGTATTTATATGTAAGATAAGGAAAAATAAAATAGTTTTAAAATAATCTGAAAAAAGATGAAATGGGAGAAGGACAATAGGCTGCGTGGTAAAATCACTCAGTATATTTTCTCATTTCAGTGAAATTAAATGAGAAATTAATAATAAAACATATCTAGAAAGTCCCTATAGTTTTGCAAGTATATCAGCATCTTGCCCAATAAACTATAGTACACTGAAAAAAAATCACGATGGGTATTACAACACATTCTAAAATAAATAATAATGAGAATAACACATAACCCAAGTTTTGGGATATAGCAATAGTTGTGCAGCTATAGCAATATTCTAGGAGGAAATGTAGGAATTTATTGCCTTTAAGGAATAGATTTGGAAAAATATGGTTAAAATTGTACAATCTAATTATTCATCTCAAGATGTTAAGAGAATAATTAAATGAAGTAGAAGAAAGAAATTAATAAAAATAAGAACATAGACTAGCAAGCTAGAAAACAAACACCATAATAGAAAGGATCAATAAGGTAAAAAATCAGTTCTTTGAAAGCTAATAAATTAATAAATCCCTTGGCAAGCTTAATGAAATATTCTGTGTAATGCATTATTGATACAAGGAATGAAATGGCACAGTACTACAGGTCTTATAGACATGAAAAGATTTTTGTGAACAACTGTGTTAATACATTTGATGTGGAAAGATTTTTAAAAGAGAAAACCCATATACTCATATAACAATTAAAAAATGGAAATTATAATTAAGATTCTTCCCATAAAGGGAACTCCAGGCCCAGATGGCTTTAGCAGTGAATTTTGCCAAATACCAAAGGAGAAAAAGATGCCAAGATTGTACAAACGCTAATCAAAAGTTAATAAAGAGAGCCTATGCTTCAATTTATGAGAGTGCCACAAAAGTCACTGCACATAAAGAAATGTCAAAGGCCACTTTCATTCATGAACATAGACATAAGAAATTCAAAGCCAAACCAGCAAACACACCAAGAAACATGTATAAAAGGACATCATAATACCATAGATTGGATTTATTCCAGTTATGCAAGGTGATTTGGCATTTAAAAACACACACATACACAGTGTAATGCACTGCTGCAAGGAGAACTAAGGAAGAAAATCTCATTTTAATAGGTACAGAGAAAATTAAACACCTCTCCATGGTAACCATGGTAATGAACAACAAAAAACAAAAACCAGAAGTCAACTTCTGTGTTTTGGTAAGTATTTTGGCAAAGAGTTCTGAGTTTGTCAAGCAGATACCTTTGTCAAGCAAAGTTCACCCTGCTGAGTTGAAAGCATTTTATGGGAGAGAAATTATCATTGTGATTAAATGGTGACAAATGTCCTGGGATTACTGCAGGGATTAGACCCTTTATGCCTCATGGGATTGATGAATATGCAGAGATGGCAGCTGGTGGGCAGCAGAACAAAGGACCAGGGCCCTGTAGTCAGTCACTTCTTCACCATCACAGTCACCAGACTGGGCTGTAGACTGCTGTGGTATCATAGTGTGGGTCCAAGTACCCTTATGTTACTTATTACTATTTTAGCCCCAAAGCACAAAGTGTAATAAGATTGGCAATTTGGATGTGCCACAGAGAAGCCAAAAAGTACTTTCTCTGCATGAGCAGGTGAACAGTCACGATAGGTAGGGAGGTGTAGGAGAAACTGCAGCGGGTGGAGGTGGCCCCCACATCCCCAGGCGCCCGACGGGATGTGGACAAGAAGCTTCTTCCTTGGAAGAGGGACGCTAGGACTCCTAGCAAGATAAGGAAATATAAAAAAATAGAGTTCAAAGAAAAAACAATACGTTATTATTTATAGGCAGGATTTTCAAACCCTGAAATGTTAACATGTAAGTGGGTAGAAATAAGGGGATTTAGTAAGATGGCTAATCAGCAAGGTAAAATTCCAGGGTGAATAGATATGAGACCAGTGTGCAAAGCTCTGTTTTCCTTCTGCATATAAGTAACGAATAGAGAATTTTAAAAAGCCAAAGACACCATTTAAAGTAAGATGCAGAAATATAAAGCACCTTGGAATAAATCCAACCAAAGATGTTTTAAACCCTTTAAAGAAAATTAGGGAACTCATTAATTTTATGTCAGTCTCCTCAAGCGATCTTTTCTTTTTGTTTGTTTTTTGAGACAAAGTCTCGCTGTGCGGCCCAGGTTGGCCTTGAACTCCAGGCGATCCTTTCATCTCAGGCTCACAAGTGTTGGGATTGCAGGCGTGCGCCACCACACATGGTTCTCCAATTCAAGTCCATTCTGGATCCCCTTAATTTGAGGAAATTGACAATCTGATTCTAAACTGTGTATGGAAATATGAAAGACCAACAACAGCCAAGAGAAAGGCTTTGAGTAAGAAGAACACAGTATTGGGCTATTCTTACTGTTATGAGTCACTGTCAAATATTAAGGTATTGTGGTGTCGGACTGCAGAGGTAGCTTTAAGTTCAAGCTTAAGGACCTGGGTTGTATACCCAATATATCATGCTGTGCCTGCCCCGGGGCCCCAGGCATGCTGTGCTGGTTACTGAGACTAGGCATGCTAGCACAGCCTATAGTTATGTCTCTAAGGGAGGCTGAGACAGGAGGATCACTGCAGGTCCAAACTGTGTAGCAAGACCCTGTATCCAATTTTTAAAAAAGACATTGTAATGTCAACACGACTGGAACAGCACAGAGATTCTAGATAGACCTTCCTAGTGGGTGATTGATTCATTACAAAGATGTATTGGAGAAAAAGAGTGAATCTTAGAAATCAAACTCAACTAGCCCTTCAGTGACCAGAAGTCACTCAGAAGTAAGAGTGGTACCTGCTTTTTCCATCCTTTTCTGTTATTTTTCTTTAATCTCCCTCAATTTCAAAAGGGTTTGCTTTCTCCCCTACTCAGAATAATTTTTGGCCTAAAAGCAACAAGGTTCAAATGTGTCCAGATGAGCTTAGATGACCAGGACTGAAGTTACAGTTAATGACACAGGCTAGGCACAGAAGCAAGCAACTATACTCCCAGCAGTTCAGGAGACTGAGGCAAGAGGACCTCTTGAATCCAGGAGTTCAAGCTGGCCAGGCCAACATGGTGAGACCTCCATCTAAAGGCAAAGCAAGGGCTGGCCAAATAGCTCAGTGGATTAAAGCACCTGCAAGCAGGTGCAGGGGCCAGGGTTCAATCCCCGGGCCCATCCCTGGGGCGTGCTGAGAGCAGTTGAGACTGGGTGTGGTGACTGGGGGTGGTGACACATGCCTGTAATCTCAGCTCTTGGGAGGCTGTAAACAAGTGAATCACTACAAGTCCGGATCTATTGTGAGACCCTGAACACCCTGTAAACCCTTCCCTAAAATGCAAAAATAAAAGATTGGGGCTGGGGAGATGGCTCAGTGGAATAAGTGCTTCCCTGGCAAGCACAAGGGCCTGAGTTCAATCCCCAGTTCCACCAAAAAATAAAAATAATTAAAATTAAATCAAAATAAAGGCAAAGCAGGGGGCCTTCCCCTTAGCTCAGTTCTTTAAGTGGCTGCTTCAACAAAGCAGTCAGGCTCAGGTTGCTGTGGTTCGATCCCCACAACACAAGCCAGCCAGTCATGCCTTGAAGGCATTTGGAGCAAAAAAAAAAAAAAAACAAAAAAAAAAACACTTCTGCCCAACATTTTGGCCCTAACCGTCTAAGGTCAATTAAGACTCAGGACATATGAGAACCTGTACTGTAACGTCATGTACCTCGGTAGTGTCCCAAATTTTCTGATCAAGAAGATTATGGGGCCAAAGAGGAAAGTGATCGATGACGTAGAGTGTGCCTAAGGAGAGTCACATGGGGAGAAGACACTCTCTCAGGCTTTCACAGAGAGCACATTGGCCAAGCAATGGCCATGACTCATCCACATGGCTGCACTGACAAAGGTTCTACAATCTGAGGTACAGGATCTTAGGATAAATCCTGAGGGCATTTCACTGACCTTCTCAGACCAAAAAGCTACAACTCTTGTTGCATAGGTCCTGCTTTACCTTGGCCTTAACCATCCAGCAGAAAAGTATGAAGACAAAATATAGGAAGTAAAGCCATGTTGTTATGTTGAACTGTGGGGGACTCAGGTCAATAATTTCTGACATTGCCAGTTAAACAGAAGACCCAATGCTATTATGGGCTACTGGACTCTTTTAGAATATTTTGCTGAGTTTACACACCTATAATATTCAATAACGGAACTTAGAACAAATGGGGTATACCGATGAATGTCCATTTTGTATCTGTGTATTCAAAGTGGTTAGGATAGATATATAGTTGCATTCTCTTAATGAATAGAATGATTTGTTCTAATGGTGTTTGTAAATAGGATCTCAAGTCCGCATCTTGTACAGCAATTAACCACTAAGAAGAATATATGCAGTGTGTTATTTGTTGAAACTGTACTTCCGATTTGATTTGAAACTGTCTCATTGCTATCTGTTTATCAATAAAATTTTGAAAAAAAAAAATAAAATAAAGGCAAAGCAAACAAAAAATCCCAAAGAAAAACAGAACAACAACAAAAAAATATAGAGGCACCATGTGACTTAGTTTGCCCAGTTATTCCTATGTATTAATGGTGGTCGCTTTCAGAAATGTTCTGATGTGGGTGATAAAAGTAATGACCAATCCCATTAGAAGATTCTAGCGTGTTTGTATTGCACTGATTGGAGCCCATAGGGAAGATTAAAGAGATGCAAGTGTAGGCAGGAGAGGAGAAAAGCAAGAACTAAGTGAGGAGCCACAAGTGGACGGTGGATGAGTTAGGGGCTGTGGTTGGGCTGAAGAAGGAGTGTGTCTTGAGGTAGCTCTTAGGTCTGCAGTCAGGATGGTGAACCTCTTTCTCTGGGTCCCTATAAACCAGCGGCACTTGTTTAAAAGGAGTAACATGGATCATCCGGGTTTGACTTAGGAGAAATGCTCCAGTGTAGGGTAAAGGCTCAGCTGTCTACACCCCCATCTAACTGGATGGCTCTGTTAACTCTGAAGAACTGGAATAGACCATAATCTTTTATTCCTCTTTGTTTTTTTTTTCTTTTCTTTCTTAAGAGTGATTGTGAAGGTGGGCTTCTCAGACCTTTAGAGGGTCTATGAGGTCCTGTTGGGGTGAGTGAGGTCAAAACTATTTCTGCAACAATGTTAATACTTTATTGGCCTTTTTCATCAGTTTGGGTGCCTGGAGTAAGGTGGGTGAAACCCGATTCCTTGACAGGAGTCCAGACAGTGCTGCCAATTGCGTGTGCAGCGGTGGGCTCCTTCACCACTGTGCAAGTGTAGTTAGTTATAAAAAAGCCAGAGTTAGATCAATATGTCCTCGATGAGCTTCTAAGAAATTATCAAATTTAGCTGAGCGTAGTGATGCACATCTATAATCCTAACACTCTGGGCAGCTGAGATAGGAAGAGTCCAAGTTGAACCCAGCCCAGTCAACTTAGTGATTTAGTGAAACCCTGTCTCAAAATAAAACAAAGAAAAAGGGCTGGGGACATAGCCGAGTGTGAAGGCCCCGGGTTCGAGTCCTCAGTATTACAAGGATGGGAGGCTAGAAGATTGGTGTTGGAATCTACTCTCAAAGAGGAAGCAGCATATGAATAAGGCACTTCCGTTGAGTTGGGATTCTTGGAGGGATGTATGTGCTTGAGTTGAGACAACCAAACCCATTGCTTCCCGGCTTGCCACTGGGACCAACACCTTGCAGAATTGCTGTGCAGACTCGCAAATTTGGCAGATGTAGTCTTGCAAGTCAACCAAGTGAGCCTGTCACTTCAAGGAGAACAACAGTTGGTATTTCTTGCCAGTGGTCATAGACAGCCTTCAAGGGAAGAATCCATTTAGGGAACTTCTGTCCATCCCAAGAGTGTGACAGCATGCTGTACTTAATAGACTTCACTGGAGGAGTAGGCAGCGGTACCAGGTGGGGTCAAGAATGAACGGGATTGAGTCCTATGAGGTCTTCCTGACTCAGTGAACTGGTATTTTCCAAATGACAGATGTCATAAAATTGTGCGTGGGTTAATGATCTCTTTCAAAATGCAAGATGAAGGAGTAGGTTTACTGGTGCAGGGTAGGAAAAATTCTTGATATGGTTTCAGTTTCAACCTTGAGTTTGGTGTGATATCAAAAGAGCTGAAATGTTTTTGAATATTATCCTTCCAGGCTATTATTATATTTTCCTTTTTCTGAGACTATATTTTGTGAGAGTGGATTTTCTTCCTAATATAACAAATGCCTATGGATTGTGAAATAGATGAGGATCATTTTTTCACTAATTTGGAGGCAGAAGGGTTGAAGAATATAGTT